TTTGGGCCGAAATACATCATCTTTTTTGCTTTCGCTTCCAAACGGGCTAAGACTCTAAGACTCTAAAAGTCTGGTTGCAGCCTTTGCCCATTTTATGTTGCTGTGTAATAATTTTAGGTTGTGTCATAAATAATTATTAATTATTTATTAAAATTCAACTAAATGTTTTCCCCATTCCTTTACAATTTAGAAAATTTATTAAACTCACCATCAAAGGAGTAATGTAATCCTTCATAGCATTGTTAAAAACATAAAATTTTGGGCCAATAGTTGATTATTGTTACAGACACTAATTACCTTGAAAAATAAATATTGAAAATACAACAAATAATATTCAAACAAAAAATTAAAAATTAAAGATGCCGGTTCAAGCCAAATTTTCGGATAACCTGAACTTAACCGAAAATTTTAAAAAAGGGCAGGCAGTCCACCGAAATTTTGTCTCGACGAGAAAGGAATGATTTTAAGTACTAGAGATCGGCCTTGGATTTAGACATTGATTTTCAAGGATCGAGAGTCAAAGGCACATTTTTCAGTGTTCCTTCATTTTTTCTTAGCTCAAGATAAATAATCTGGTAAGGGTCCTCAACAAAATCAAGGGCAAGGTTTTTAAAATTTCCAAGCTTCAAATTTTAAGCTCAAACATTTCGTTAGATAACTTAAAATCTCTAACTTTGTTACAAATTTTAAAACAGAAAAATCAAATCGATCCCGAACCGACAACCTTACTCGCAAAAATTTCCACAAAAATATTTTTACTTGATGTAAATCCATTGACTCAACAGGAAATCGAATAACGCCTTGCTCAAATTGAGATATTTGATCTTCACAAAGTAAATAATTTAAATATTCATTAACTAATGATGGGGGAGGAGAGTAGTCATAGGTGCGGGGGTGTCGCGGGCGACTTTTTGACTTTTAAGTCAAATCCTTTTGATTAGTTTTGCCTTAAGGTCAAATCCTTTTGACCGGCTGGACAAAGCTCAAACCTTTAGCGCGAGTTAGTGCGGTAAAAGCTGACCAACCTGTACCTGTAGGAGGAGAGGGAAAAATTGATGTCGCGGGCGTCCTACTCCTCCTCCCTCTCCTTCCCTACCTCTTCTCTCTCCCTTTTCTCTTCTCTGGAAAAAAACGTCGTGGGGTGGTGGGGGTCTGGTAAAACCAAAAGGAAGAGGGCATGTTGGGGGATCGCGCGGCAAAAACCTAAAGGGAGTGGACAACTTGGCAGAGTCTTGGGGTGGAGTGGGAAGGGAGGCCAAGATTTGTGGTGGAGAGGTCAGACAAACGATAGAGTATGTGCATTTATTTGTGGGAAAAATCAAAATGGAGAGGAAAATTCTTGCGGAGAGATACGATAAAAGAAAAGTGAATGGCAATATTTGGGGAGGATGGGTCAGACAATAGGAAATATTTAATTATGAGAGGAAAACCAAAAGGAAGAAGGAAGAGAACCCCTTTTGAATGTGGACATCATTGTCTAGGGTGGCAATAACTGAAATGGATAAAATAGTCTTGTAATCAAATGGTGATGAGAGGGTAGAGAAAGTGGTTTAAGGGGTAATTTGTAAATCATCGTCGTCGTGGCCGACTTTTTGACTTTTAAGACAAATCCTTTTCATTTGTTTTGACTTGAAGTCAAATCACTTTGACAGGTCGGTGATAACCAGCTCCTACTCCTCTCATCCCTCCTCTCTGATAATACTCCTCCTCTCCTCATTCTTTCTCCTCCCCATTTCATCTTCTCCGCTATTTTCTTCTTCTTCTTCCTCCTCCTCCTCCCTCCTATTCCTCATATCTTCTCTGATTCCTCCTCTATTCTACTCCTCTCATCTTCTCCTCTCTGATACTACTCCTTCTCTCCTCATTCTCCTTCTTTCTCCTCCCAATCTTATCTTCTCTATTTTTTCCTCCTCCTCCTCCCTCCTACTCCTCCCATCTGCTCTGATCTCATCTTCTCCTCTCGGTTCTTCCTCTATGATACTATTTCCTTCCTCCTCTCCATATCCTACTCCTCTCCTCGTTCTTTTTCTCCTACTCGTTTAATCTCTATTTTCTTCCTACTCTCTTCTACTCTCTCATCTCCTCTCGTATCATCTTCTCTTCTCCTTTTATCCTCTCCTTTCCTTTGCGGTTGAACAATCACCATCGTGGAGTAGAGGGGTCTGGCAAAATCAAATGATGAGGACATATCGGTAGAGTTGTGGTGTTGAAGGGTAATTTGTAAGCAGTGGTGAAAAAATAATTTCTAAATTTGAAGTGTCATTTATTTTGTAATTACTTTATTACAATCTTATAGAACCATTCAACAAGTGATCTATTACCTCATCGAATAATCAAATTGTTCTTTGTAATTAACCAAACAGTGTTCGTGTTTATTATGTATTTGACATAATTTTTTAAATTATTGTCATATCTTATAAAAAACATGTGCAATATTAATGTTTTAAAGTGGTAGATTTTAGGGAGAAAAGTGCATATTTAAGTGTTAGAAGATACAATGTGCATAATTAACCGTTAGAAGTTGATGATTTTAGTGAGAAAAGTGTATAATTAAGCATTACAAGTTGTAAAAAGCATAGTTTGGAGTTTGAAGTAGTTAATTTTGGGGGTAAAAGTGCATATTTAGACAAAAGAAAGTGCAAATTTTAATTTTTTTTAAAATCCACGCATTTTAGGTATGTGCGCGTGTTTTGTGTATGTGCGTGTTTTTAAGGCGTGTCAGTTTTGATTAATGTTGTAATCCACTGAAAATCCGAGTATAAAAGGGTGGCGATTTTGGATTTTTGTATCATTATTTCAAAATGAATCAAAATTTGTTTTCCCAAATCCTTCCAGAAGTAGATTTTAATATCTCCTCGAGTGGAATAACCGTTTTAAGTTCTCGACTTACTACTCCTAGGTTTATTCCTTACGACCAGTCAGGGAGATGTAAGGAGTGCAAGAGCACAGAGGTGGAAATTGATTTTATTGTGACTAAGGAAGGGGTTACTATCTACTGTACACGAATTGGCTCAGGTACCCGATTTGTCCCATTCGATACAGTTTATGAGTTGCCCACACATTGCTTTTTTAAAGTCAGGAACAAAGGGAGAGTGTTCAATGTTCCTCATGGAGTACAAGCGCAACAGATAATCCATCAAAATCCCAAGAGAGGGAAAAGGAAAATTGATGAGCTGCCTACTCTTAATCCAACTGCTCCAACTAATAATTTGTCTTCTCCTCCTCATAGCTCCCCTACTCCTCCTCTACATTCTCCTCCTCGACCTCCTACACCTCCTGATAATGTAGAGTTCGAGAAAGAACTTCAGGAATTTTATGATAGTTTAATGGCAGCTACAACTGGATTATCTTCATCTCCGAAGAAGCTAGAAGAGAAGGTTCAGAAAGAAGAGAAAATAGATGAAACAAATGTTCCTATATAAGCATTAGTGTTTACCCTCTAATTTGTTTTTTTCGAAAATATTATAATTATGGAATTACAATCATTTATTAATAAAGACTTAAATTTTAAACTACCTTTTGGTATGATTTTGTCTGGGCCAAGCTCAAGTGGAAAAAGTTCATTCTTATTAAAATTTATTGCGGACTCCCAAGATTTGATCGGACCCAAGCCAAAAAGTATACTGTATTGTTTTGGAGAGATGAACGATAATATCCCGATCCTTCAAAAATCAGGAGTTAATGTTTATGCTGGAGTTCCTCCAGAGGATTTAATAAATAAGTTCCAAAAACCCTTGCTACTAATTCTTGATGATTTGCTCCTATCTATAGATGAAAAATATCTTTCGGAGCTATTTACAAAAAAGTCGCATCATCAAAATTTTGCAATTGTTTTTGTTACCCAAAACCTATTTGAGAAAAAGATTAAGGTTGCGCGACAAAATGCCCAATATATTGTTTTAATGAGGTCTCCGAATTCTGCACTCTCCGTGAGAAATATTGGTGTACAGTTATTTCCTCGTCAGTTAGACTATTTCCTCGATGCATACAAACAGGCAACAAATGAACCTTACGGATATTTGCTCATCGATTTGCATGCATCCTCAGACCCAACTCTAAGACTCCGGACAAACGTATTTAAAAGCGATGAAGAGAAGATAATTTTCATTTCCAAAAATGTTTAGTCAATTAATTAACGAGAATAAAGAATTTTTACGCTCTTTAGCGCATACAAAATCTGAAAGTAGAAGCAGAAAAATTTTACGAAAAGCAGATACTAATCAGTTATTATCAATTGTAGAAATTTGCTTGAATATTGTAAAATCTCGTTTTAACCTTAATACTCGTCAAAAGAAACGTTTGATACCTCATGTAGATTTTATTCGTCAAATAAGCCGTGCTAGGAGTGAGCGGGGAGTAAGAAAAGTTTTGAGGCAAAAAGGTGGAGGAATAGGAGTATTTGCTGCTCTTCTCACTCCTGTTTTAATGGAGCTAGCTCGAACAATTAGTATAAAAGCCTATCAAAATAATTCAAATCAACCATAAATTTAAAAATAATGGCAAAAAAATTAATTCTAGTTCCAGAAGAGATTTATAGAGGACTTACTTCAAATAATTATGGGGATCCAAATTTAGATTTCACAAAGAGAGCGGTTGAGAAGGCTAAAATTAAGAAAGAAAACCTCTCCGCCAAAAATATTCATTACAACCAAGAACTAAGACGCTATCTGAAATTAAGGAATGAGAGTGAAAATAGACCTGTCAGAGTCGAAATGGTAGCTAACCCCAAAGGAGCAATTATGAATAGTGATGTTAACAGACCTGCAACAAATATTACAGACGATAATGATGATTTATGGATGAGCGATGATCTTTCGTATTCTGCCTATCCACATGAGCCGCCGGCCTTATCATATAATATTGTTCCCCCTTTGTCAAATTCTTCAAACGAGCAAACAGCCCCCGAAACTCGGCGTAGAAACTTATTAAGAGATGGAATTTCCCCTACTCCTCCTAACCCTAGACGAAAAATAAAGAGAAAACTTGAGGGGGACGATTATGGACAAAATAAAAGACAACATTTGATTAATTATAAAAATGAGGCTCGAAATGAGTATTTGAAAGTTTCTGAAAAGGCTAGAAATAGATTGCAAAAATTAGAAAGAAAAAAGATGTTGAAAAATTGGAGAATTCCCTATATCCCTGAATATAATACAAATGTCCCGGTTGATGATGATTTTCCTTCAGATCCTCCCACCCCAATTCTCCCTAATATTCCTGAAGGTATTGATGCTCCCCTTGTATCTGACCATCTTCCTCCTAGACAAATTATAAAAAGGGGACAGACAGAAGAGTTTGAGGGTACAAAGAGATGGAAAAAAGGATATGACGAAAATAAAGAAGCAAAATTAAGACGTGAACAGAGAAGAAGGGGATATTTACAAAGAAAAAGTCATATTCGGGAACAAAAGATTCCTATTGATCAAACAGCATTAGTTCAAACTCGTAGACAAGATGATATCCAAAGACGTCAAAAATTAAAAAGAAAATGGGAAGGTCCAGACGAAAGTCCTCTAATTGCTTTGAAAAGAGTAAAACCAGTGACAAAACAACAATCTGCAAAAGCCGGTAGAGAATGGATGTTAAGACTTATAAAAGCTAAACGTAAGGAGGCTGGTATAAAAAGATTTAAACCCACACTTTGGTAAAAATGGCAGACCCCACACAGTTATTACATCGACTTTATAATGATCCAGATTCACCTGCTGCCTTTTCCGGAGTTGATAGGTTATGGTATGAGGCACGTAAAATTCTCAAACATTTACCCAAAAAAGTTGTTCAAGATTATTTGGAAGGGCACAGGACTTATACACTTATGCGTCCAAAAAGAATCCATTTTAAAAGAGCAAAAACTGTAGCGGCAGGTTTTATGACAGATGTGCAAGTAGACTTGGCAGATATGCAGGCTCTCTCCAGGCATAACAAGGGAAATAAATATATTCTTCTAGGGGTTGATGTACTTTCTAAGCGTCTCTTTGGCGTTCCTGTTAAATCAAAAGGCTCAAAAGATATGTTAGATGCATTCAAAAAGTTAATTAGTCAAATGCCCATGAAACCTCATAGGATTTTCTCAGATAAAGGGTTAGAATTTAAAAACAAAGTTGTGAAGGAATATTTTGAAAATGAGGAGATTCAAAAGAATGAGGCTACTCATTCGACCGTTAAGGCTTCTGTAGCTGAAAGAGCAATAAGAAATGTGAAGCAACGGCTCTATAGATATTTTGCACAAAACAAATCTTTAAATTGGATTGATATACTTGATAAAATATTAGTTGGCATTAATAAGTCAAAGAGCAGGGTGCATGGGATGCGTCCTATTGATATAAATTTTTCTAATGCACAAGAGGTGTGGGAGCGAATGTATACAGATGAATTCTCATCAAAGGGAAAGAAAAGTAAAGCAAAGCTAAAGGAAGGAGATTTTGTTCGTACTAGCATGAAAAAAGGATCCTTTGAAAAAGGTTATATTCCAAATTGGGGAGACCAAATTTTACGAGTAGATAAGGTTCAGGATCAATTTTTTCCTGTTCGATATAGAATTAATAATGAAGATGGTGATAGGTTCAAAGGATATTACTATGGAGAGGAGCTAGCTCGTGTCAAAAAGAATGCCGATACAGAATATAGGATAGAGAAAGTCATAAGAAAGAAAAAGAGAGCGGATGGAACGTACGATGTTCTTGTAAAGTTTGTAGGATATCCCGAAAGGGAGTGGATTCATGAAACCCAACTTGTATAAAAGGGATTCATCTCGTTGTATTTCTTTCATTTTAAATAAAAATGTCAAATAGTTTTTATGTTTGTTTATTGAGTAATGTTTCAGATTATCCACAAAATCAGCCGAATAAATTTCGTGTTCACTTACCCAAACCCCTTTATTTTACCGGTGACTGGGTCTGTGGTGTCCATAGTATAAGCTATCCATATTCTTGGCCTTCTACTGTTGGGACTCTTGACGAGCAATGGGTAGATATAAATTTTACAGATAACAATAAAATGGGGCAAGTCATAAGAATTCCTGTTCCAAAAGGCTCCCACAGTACACCAGAGGAGCTTCGTCAGTTTTTGATTGCTACTTTAGAACTCCAAAGTACAGCTCTAAAAGCTTCGTCACTTGATAAATCAGATGGGTTAGTGAAGAAACCAAGCATACTAACAAGGGATAAACGTGAGATTGATCCTAGAACTCCTCCTAGAATTGAAAAAGATATAGAATTACCTTTAACTCCACCATTAACTAGCCCAACGACTGAGACAATAGAGGAATCTATATATCCAGTAACACCTCCTTTATCAAGTCCAATATCAGATAACGAGACACACCAATTAATATCTAATACGCCTTCTAATATTAATCAAGAACAAACACCTCCTAAGAAAGACCCAGAGATAATAAACAAACCCGATCTCATAAAATCTTTAACACCTCCAAGAGTCGAATCTCAAACAAACCAAGCGGAAAATAAAATACAAACAATAATTAGCCCACCTCCCAGTGAGTCAACATCTTTGAGACTAGAAGATAGATCAATACCTGTAATAAATTCAACTTTATCTCCGTCTCCTCCTCCTCATCCCCCAAAGATAGATCCTGCTAATCCAAATCAAACTTACAAAACAATTTCATCTCAAAAAAAACAACCTGAGCCTCAAAAGACAATAACACCTCCAAGAGTTAATCAAGACAAAGAAAAATCATATACAATAATACCAGTAATTCCTTCAATAGAAAACCAGGAAATAGAAAAACCATTAATTAAAAAACCAGTAAGCACTCAAATAGCCGATCATGAATCAGAAAAACAATTAGTTACCAAACCTGTAACACCTCCAAGGGTCCATAAAGAACTAGAAAAACCATTAGTTACAAAACCTGTAACACCTCCAAGACTCCATAAAGAACTAGAAAAACCTTTGCCTACAAAATCAATAACACCTCCAAAAACATATTTAACACATCCTATATCTGCACCACAACCTTTACCTCCTCGAACACAGAAACGTCCGCAAAGTCCCTTAAAAAATCAAACTCCTCCAGCAAAACAACCTTCAAAGCAAACAAATGCAAATATTTCGCAATCCACTCAAACATCACCTCCATCATCCCCTAGTGTTTTAGATGCTATGGGATTAAAATCAGACAAAAATATTTCAAGAGGAGATAAACTGTTTGAAGTATTATTTGGAAAGGAAAATAAAACACCGTATGATACTACTTTTTTAAAACAAATTATTGATTCAATTAATTTATCTTATCTCACAGATTTTAAACGATTTAAACTTGTATTTTCTCATAGGAGTATCAAATATCTGTCATTTTCGCCTCAATTGGGATATGTTCTTGGTTTTGCAAACCCTCAACATGTCCAAAATAATGAGATTGCCAAGTATGGGTGTGATTTAAGAGGAGGGTTTTCTAGCTTTGCAATCTATGCAAAGGGACTTACTGAAAATATGATTGTTGGAAATTCTCTCAGCTCCTTGCTCCGAATCGTTTCAGTCACAGGAGCAGTACCTGGGGAGTACCACGAAAAGATTTATGATTCTCCCATCTATGTTAGAGTGCTCCCCCGAGAAGTAAATGAAATTGAAGTTGAACTAAGGACGATGGATAATGGTAGACTTGTACCGTTTGCTTATGGTACAGTCAGTATTGTTTTGGTCTTTAAGAAAGTGATAAATTTCTAAGACTATATAAACCCTCGTTTTATTTTGTAATTATTTTTATATTGATAAAAATGGTTCATGTTCAATTTGATACAAATTCAGTAGGGTACAATTTTGTTGTAGATCAATGTGGGAGTGGTACGGAAAATTATTATTTTAAAGGAGCATCGCCATATCAGCGTGGATATGGGCAAAGAGGAGCAGGAGTTGGAGATATTATGAGAGGGTTGTGGAGATTTTTTCTCCCATTATCCGAAGAGTAGGTAGTACAGTGTCTGCTGAGGCACTTAATACAGGACAGCGCGTACTCGAAAGAGTCAATGAAGGTCAGCCTATAAAAGAGGCATTAGTCAGTGAAGGAAAAAGAGGAATTGATACAGTCCTTGAAAAGGGAGGACTACCAAAACAATTTGGGACTGGAAGAAAAAGTATAAAAAGGAATAAATTTCCTTCCCATCAAACAGTTATTGGCCAAAAGAAAAAACGTGTAGACGCTTTTGGCTTTTATTAAGAATGTCTTTTAAAAAGATTGATAGAGATAGTCTTGATACAATTACAAACGCTGTAGAAATCTTTCAAGTTCCTCCTACCAATGTTACCATTTCATCCTCAAAAACATTTGAAATCCTTCCTAGTAATCCTTTAACCGACACCCCTTTTCATTTTAAAATTCACTCAAGTGAAAACTTTATTGATTTGTCTAAATGTTATCTTTTTACCGAATTTCGAATCCGCAAAGAAAATGCTAATGGTCAACATGTAAATATTACACTTGACGAAAATGTTGCCCCCATACAAATGATTGGAAACACATTTATTAATAATATGAGAATAAGTATAAATGGGCGCGAAATATTCAATTCAAACTCATTATATGCCTATAAGACTTACTTTTCCCATGAACTTTCATACTCTTTAGGAGCAAAAAGTTCTCATTTAAATGCGGCAGGGTATTATTACGATTCAGGTGTATCACAAGAGGCCGGAGCAAGTTTTAATTCAAGAAGAAATTTGTTTGTTAATAGCCGAACAGCTCAGTTTATTTCAAAACTTGATGCCGATCTTTTCAACCAGCCTCAATATTTAGTAAACCATTGCGAGGTTGATATTGAAATATTGCCCAATGATACAAAATTTCTCCTTATTGCTCCTCTCACTGTTGGAGCTCAACCTACTCGCTATATTTTCGAAGTGGTTAGTTGTAAGTTATATGTAAAGAAATTGGACCTAATGGATGGTCTTGCTCTTGATATTGCCAGAAGACTTGATTTAAAACCTGCCCGTTATGCTATTCGTAAGACAATGATGAAACCATTATTTATCAGTCAAGGAAGATATGAGTTTCATGCCAATCTATTCATGGATCAAATACCACGACGAATTACTTTAGGATTAGTCGCTAACTCCGATTATGTAGGGACACAAGAGCGGAGTCCTTTCAATTTTCAATCTTTTAGGGTAAGGGAGATTAGTATTAAAACTAATCTCCCTGATTATTTAGATTATTTATTTGTAACTAAAATTGTAAACAAAATGATAAATAATTAATTATTATGAATTTCTAGATAATTTTTTGTAATTTTAAAACAATCAGGACAAAGATATAATTCGTACTTGAAATTATGTTCATATTTGGGTACCATAATTTCGCACTGTAAACGACTCAAAACAAACTTTAGACAATCATGGCACCACTTTCCAGCTCTGAAGTAGTTTATGAGTACACTCAGTCGTGCTCCCATGTCCAGTCGATCACCATCTTTGATAGCCTGACTTAAAGCATTCATATACTTCCTCTTTTGAAATTCTCTATACTCGCACGACCCATGCATAAACTTAATAAATTCTTCTTCTGGAGATGAGCTCATTTTCTGAAATTTTTTTAAATGATTAATGAAAATGTGCGGAAATAAAAAATAACTTTCTGCACAAATTTGACCTACATATCAAAATGTAAACTTTCAAAATATAAAAAACGGGA